CTCCGAAATGTTTGATGACCTCCACCTCACAAAATGAAAATACAATACTGCTTCACACGTTTCCTCCCTTTGCCGGACCCCAAGTTTGGTAAGATTTTATTTTTGCGGACATTTTGGAAGAAATTGAAGGTGTGAGTGGGGAAAAAAACAGTCACCAATCACCGTAATCGTTTTTCAGAAAAACGCTCAATGTGTCCGCCCTTTAGTAAGCATGGTCCCTCTGCGAACATGGCCTCCCTCCTCCTCCTACGTCTACTTGATATATGGGACTAATTTTAACTTATTCTTTTCTCATTAACATCATTAGTCTTATTGATGCCATTACCATTATTATCTTTAGTAATTTTACTTCATTTTTCATTAAAATCATAACCTCGTTGTCTTTGTTATTGTCGAATATCATCCTGTTCTTTTCATTATCATTATCATTATAGCTATTAGAATAATTATTATGCTCATTACCTTTGTAAATGTATTACGTCCAGTACCTTTTTCTTCATCGTTACAACTATCATCACTATTGTCAAGGATCTCAGAACAAAATAGGGTATTTGATATCATAAATGTATTAAAAGTGTGTTTTATGTCATGCATTGACGACTTACTCATAAAAGACGTTAAATGACGGATGAATACATGTGTAGCTCTTTAACATGTTTGAATTCTTACAATCGGATCATTTCCCGTATCCATAGCCACCGCCATAGCCGCCACCATAGCCTCCTCCGCGACCGCCGCCATAGCCTCCGTAACCACCTCCGCGACCGCCGCCATAACCACCACCATAACCTCCGCTGCCACCTCCGTAGCCGCCTCCATAGCCTCCGTAGCCACCTCCGCGACCGCCTCCATAACCACCTCCATAGCCTCCGTACCCGCCACCATAACCGCCTCCACGGCCGCCTCCATAACCGCCTCCATATCCACCATAGCTTCTTCCTCCCGCCAGGACACATGTCACCATGGCAGCCACCAACACAAGTGCGAGAGAATATTTCTGAAACGGAACAAAATACGATAAGCTTACAATAGAACTGGAATTCTTTCTGTAGAATAAAAGATTGATCTTTTGATCTTTGGGACTATGGCCATCGTGTACGAATTTATTCAGTCTGATTATATATTGAGTTTAAGTTTATATCTTAAGCATTTGACTGAGCTTATGTGTTATGTCTTGAGTTTATGTCTTATGATCTGGTTCCAAATGTGAAACTTAGTTTGGGTTTATATATTATGCTTCTGATTTTGTCTACAATATATGCCTTTGAATTAGTAATACAAGCTATGAGTTCCCACATGTATAGCAAATCATATGATATGAATAATGTTTGGTTGAGCTAGTCATTAACTGATATTGATAATACTTGCAGTAAAGGTTGTATCAGTGATGTAGTATATCTATATCGTTACATATTTATATACATACATGCATGCATACATACACACATGCATGCATATATGTTTGTGTACATATACATGTATACACACACACACACACACACATATATATACATATATGTGTTTATAGTGTGATATTAATAGATATACTTAGATAGGTAGGTAGATAGATAAAAGGATATATCACGGTATATATACATATATGTATACACATAAACACACATATATGTATGTGTATATACATATGTATGTATGTATGTACCTATGGATGTGTGTATGCATGTGTATACAGACGTGCTGAAGCAAGCACACGCATTCACTCCATGCAGTATACGTACCATTGTGCAAAGCTTTTCGGTATGAAGTCAGGCCAGACTCTGCTTCAGGCTGAAGGAACTTCAAGCTTTTATATCCACCGAGGGAATCGCTGAGCCGTTCTGCGCCTGAGAAACACGCGTCATGGGATGTGATGGCATTTTCATGACATTTTCCTCATGACAGACCTGATTCGGGTGCTTCATTATCGCTTGATTTTGATTACTAGATATTACACTTAGAATCTAATTATACGCAGACAGTGACATGATCAACTGTAATGCTTTGGCGAAATTATATTCTTCATGTGTTTTAGAATTGTTATTTACGCAATTTTTTTCTCTCTCGCAAATCTCCAGGTTAGTTGCTTTCTTCTTTATGCAGGTTTCTGTTAATAGCAATAAGAATTATTTATGCTCGTATGTTTATTTTCTAGTTTATGTTTATGTTTATGTTGGACGTTGATAAAATATCGGTATTTTATTGTATCATTATTATATTGAATTACTCTTATATTTCTGTCATTTCTTAGTCACATCATTCTGTTTACTATTTACTGATATCAATTTCCAATACAGTAGTTTTTGCATAGCTACTGTTCACAACATATTTTTTTCTGTAGTCACTTTTGACTAGATTATGTAATCTTTTCCATAATTTTTGTTCACTAAATCATTTTTTATTTTATGATCACTTTTTACTAACTTTACACTTTTACAATTTACAATTAGAACTTTTTACAAATTGATGTGGCCAT